CAGATTTTCTTTCCCCACTGCTGCTCCACTATCCGTCACCCCCCAGGGATGGAGGAGAAGGGGGGGGGCGGGGGGGCTGGTGCTGAAGATTCCCTTCTCCCCCACTGCTGCACCCGCAGCAGGGGGATGGAGGAGAAGGGGGGGGCGGGGGGGGCTGGTGCTGCAGATCCCCTCCCCCCCACTGCTGCTCCACAATCCGTCACCCCCCAGGGATGGAGGAGAAAGGGGTGGCGGGGGGGGCTGGTGCTGCAGATCCCCTCCTGCCACCCCCTGAACCTCCAAGCTCCCCCCCCCCTCCCAACACAAGGTGCAGCAGGGAGAGAGAGAGGAGGAGGCTTGGCGGCAGCTGCTGCTGCTGAGGCACATCCGCCACCCCCTCACACCCTCTTCCCCCCGTCTCCATGGAGGGGGGGGAGAGGGGGGAGGGGGGCGGGGACGGAGCTGCGCGTGCGACTGCAGGGCGCGCGGGCAGGAAGAAACCGTCGCAGTGGGGGGCGGGGGGGGGGGGGGGGGGGCTGGTGCTGCAGATCCCCTCCCCCCCACTGCTGTAGATCCATTCCTGCCACCCCCTTACTCTCCAAGAGCCCGCCACCCCCATACCCCCCCCCCCCCCAACTGCTGCACCCACAGCAGGGGGATGGAGGAGAACGGGGGGGGGCGGAGGGGGTTGGTGGGGGGGAATGAGTTCGCCACCTCCATACCCCACTGAACCCCCCTCCCTTCTCCTCTCCCCCCTTCCCCATGGGGGGGGGGGGGAGGGGGGGGGAGGGGGGCGGGGGCGGGGAATGAGCTGCGCGTGGAGAAACCGACGCACTCCCGAGGCGTGCGACGGGCAGGAACCGACGCGCAGCCGGGGCGCGCATCGGGCAGAAACCGTCGCGCACCCGGGGTGCGTGACGGGCAGAAACCGACGCACAGCCAGGGCGCGCATCGGGCAGAAATTCGACGGGGCCGACGGACCTAGGGGCGACGGGGGGCCGCGGGGCCGAGGGGCCGAGGGCGACAGGGCCGAGGGGCCTAGGGCGACAGGGCCGCGGGGCCGAGGGCTAAGGGGGCCGAGGGGCCTAGGGCGAGTCGGGCCGCGGGGCCTAGGCTAGAGGCGACGGGCGACGCCAAGGGGCGACGGGTCGCTAGAGGCCGTGGGGCCGAGGCTAGGGGCGAAGGACGACAGGGGTCGCTACGGGCGACGGGCTAGGGTTGACGCCAAGGGGCGACGGGCCTAGGGGTGTCGAGCGCGAGCGACGGGCCACGGGGCCGGGGCCTAGGGGCGACGGGCAACAGGGGTCGCTACGGGCGACGGGCTAGGGGCGACGCCAAGGGGCGACGGGCCTAGGGGTGTCGAGCGCGAGCGACGGGCCACGGGGCCGGGGCCTAGGGGCGACGGGCCGAGGGGCGACGGGCCTAGGGGCGACGGGCCGTGCCGAACGTCGAGAGTAGGGCCGCACGAGGGCAGCGCGCAGGGCAGTAGGTGGTGGGCCCAAGGGTCGAAACTACTCTAATACCATGTTGAAGTAGGAGGAGCCATAGCTAGGGTGAAAGCTAGGCAAGTGTCGAGAGAAAAGTTGAGAAGGAAAAATGATGTTTCACTAAGAGAAGAAAGTACAAGATATAGGAGTGAGAGATGGCAAAGGGTGCACCACCTACAGGGACTATAACAGTAACTACACTACAGCTATAACTATATGCAGTTATACAGAAATATATATAAAATATATTCTGACATAAGCCACTGCCTCTTACCTTCTTTCCCTCCCCTCCCCTTCGCCACCAGCTCTGCACCGCTCATTCTTCTCCTACACCCATGTGTTCCCCGTGGACTTGACCCGCACAGCACTGCCACAGTGCGCACAGCTCTATCTCCTCCCCTTCTCACACCCTCTGGGGAAAAGGGTCCTGATTTCCTCCTGGGTTCACCCTCGTGCCCCCAACTCTGCTCCTGCTTGTCAGAATGTTATGTTTGTCTAGCCTGCAGTGGGGTACTCAATAGTGAGTACAGCCCAATTTAGGGTTTCCTATATGTACTCAACTGCTTGCTAGTGAAACCCTCTTTCTCATTTCAAACTTCCTTTGGTTTCTAACATGGAATCAGAGCAGGTCGACCTAAGCTTCCGCTGCTACACTGCCTATCGCGCGCCTCGGGCGCGCACAATCTTTCTTTCTGCCGCGCGCCCATGGCGCGCGGCCCTTTTTTTCTTTTTCTTTTTCTTCCCGCCGCGCGCTCGAGTCGCGCGGCGGTTTTCTGCTCGTCGCGCCGCCCTGGGGGCAGCGCGACGCCCTGCCCTGCCCGTCGTGCGCCCCGTGGCGCGCGACGGTGCCCTGCCCGTCGCGCGCCTCGGGGCGCACGGCGGTTTCGTCGCCCGGGGGGGCTCGTGCGCGGCCCCCCCCTTCGTCGCCCGTCGCGGCGCCACCAGGGGCCCGCGTGGCCCCCCCCCTTCGTCGCCCGTCGCGGCGCCACCAGGGGCCCGCGCGCCCCCCCCCCCTCCTTCGTCGCCCGTCGCGGCGCCAACGGGGGCCCGCGCGGCCCCGAATCCCGTCGTCTGTCGAGGCGACCCTGGGGGGGGCCGCGTGCGGCCCCTCCTGTCTTCGTCGCGGCCCTCCCCCCCCTTACCTCCCTACTCTCCATCTATGGCCCTACCCTGTTTTAGGGTTTGGGGGTGGCGGGTGGGGGGGTGGCGGGTGAGTGGCATCCCCTGCTCCTCCTCCTCCTCCGTCTCCCACTGCTGCAGCTGCCGCTGAGGGGGGTGGGTGTGTGGGAGCCTATGGAGTGGTGCTAAGGGGTGGAGTATGAGTGAACCTAGGGGTGCAGCAGGGGGTGTGTGAAAGGGGGGTGAGACAGTTAGAGGGAGGTTGGGCGGAGGCAGCTGTCGTGTCGCCAGCAGCGCCAGTAGTCCGGAGGCTACAATCTCCGGTAGCCCAGCGAGCCAGTAGTCCGGAGGCTACAATCTCCGGTCGCCAGCTGCGCTAGTCGCCCGTGGGTCCGTTGCTCAGAGTTAGTCGCGGAGCCAGTTACTCCAGTAGTCCGGAGGCTACAATCTCCGGTAGCCACAGTGCGCGCCGCTCCTGATGCCCGTGTGTCTGCAGCTTCACCTGTCGTCTCCTATCTCTTCTCCTCTCACAGTCCCTCCTCCTCCTCACTTACCATCTGTGACTGCCTCTAGCTTTGCTTATATTTGTGAACTATAAACTGCTACTTCTTGTACTTGTGCTCAGAATGTGTGGTGACTTTGTGATCCACCCTGAGCTTGTTTTGCTTTGCTTGTTGTGCTGATTACACCCCACTTTGGCTATGGGGGTGTGTCAGAATGTTATGTTTGTCTAGCCTGCAGTGGGGTACTCAATAGTGAGTACAGCCCAATTTAGGGTTTCCTATATGTACTCAACTGCTTGCTAGTGAAACCCTCTTTCTCATTTCAAACTTCCTTTGGTTTCTAACACTGCTTCCCCCAACACCTACTTCTGGCCCACTTTCCCACATCCTCAGGATTGTCAGGATGTGCCAAATCAGGACTTCGGCATCTCCCATATCCCTCTCATCAGCCATTCTGCTGTTCACCCTTTCCCCCTCTCCCTTCCACCCTTCCCCCCTCTCTTCCCCTTCCCCTTTCAGCTCTGCACCTGCTTCTCCGACACCGAATTCTGGCCCGCCGACTTTACGCCCCTACAACACTGTCTCTTCGCCTGCCATCCCCGCTTCGCCTGCCATCCCCGCTTCGCCCGCCATCCCCGCTTCGCCTGTCATCCCCGCTTCCCCAATCCCTCCAATCACCCATCAGGTGTGTATAGTGCAGACATCCAGAAGCATCCATCTCCCGCCGTCTCTCCCTCGCCACTCTCTCACCGGCCTCTCTCGCTGGCCTCTCATGCTACTCCCCGCCTCGCCACGGCGTCACTGTCGCCACCGCATCTGCCGTCAGCCAAACCTCGCGGTTCATGCCGATCCCATCATGCGTAGCCAGTCCGCCTGCCACGGCTTTTGAGGTGTCTTGAACATCAACCAAACCTTGCTGCTCATGCCAACCCCACGCCCCACCCCTCACCCTTTGGTAGATAGAAGTTCTTTCTTACGCTGTTGTGAGAGTTGGAAATTCAGTGTTTCTCATGCTCTTCCATCTCCTGCTCGCACTTTTTCTTGGCTCTTGGCTTGCTGCTATCGTCGAGTGCATGAGGTCAGTGCCACCACCCCGCCTACAGTGTGGGAAAGCTGGATATCGAGAGCCGGTGATCCGTGGGCATGCGTGTGAGAGCTGGGGAGGGGTTCTGTGGGGTAGGGGCGTGTGTGAGTCATTCGAGGGAACACTGAAGCTGGGGTGAAGGGGGTTGAGGGGGAAAGTAGGAGGGGGGTGTAAAGGGGAGGTTGACGAGGCGGTGAAAGGGAGGGCTGCTGCTGGGGTGGGCGGATGCCATACATGAGTGGCAAGGGCCCACGACGAGTGGGTGAGGACGAGTGGGGCCATAGTTGGGACAGGCAGTTGAATAGGTAGCTGGATGTCGCCCAGATGGGTGGTAGTGAGGAGGTGTCCGATTCCCTCTTCCCACCCAACCCCAATCGCATCTTCCTCCCATCCCATCTATCCAGCCTCGCATTTGTGTATGCCACGAACACCGACCCGTGACCCACTGTCATCTGTCCTTACTGCACATGCACTGTTCTCGCAAGCACTACTCCTTACTCTCCTCCTTTTCCCCTATCCTCTGAACCTCTCTCCCCTCTTCTCCACCTTCCCCTCCTAGCTCCGCACCTGCTTCTCCTACACGGACTCACAGGTCACGCCCCTACGGCACTCTCTCCCGCATCCCTCTCATAACCCACTGGTCTTTTTCCTTTTTTACCGTGCCTTCTTTCTCCCCTCCATCTCTACGCCTTCGTCTCCTAAACCCACGTCAGTTGTAGTACCTGCAGCAGTGTTGTGAAAGGTGCCTGAAAGGCTGAAACTCCATGCGTGCCGCATGCTCTGAGGCTGAATGACCTGCTGCTGTGTTATCCAAAGGGGCAAAGCTGGATGAAGCAGACCAACACTCCCGAACATCCGTCTTCTTTCCCACCACTCACCACTTCTCTCACACCCATCTCACTCGCCGCTCTCTCCCATCCCACTGCCCTCCCTTGGTCTGATCACCCTCCAGAGCACAGCCGTCACTCTCCATCGTTGTCCCCCTTCTCCGACCTCTCACCCACCCCCTTACCCGTCCCCTCACCCATCCCCTCACCCACCCCCTTACCCATCCCTTACGCATCCCTTCACGCATCTCGTTACCCATCCCTTGCCCATCCCCTCACACACTGATCCCCTCATGACTATCCCTGTGTTCCCCCTTCCCCTCAACCACCCACCAAATGCGCATAGTCCAACCAGTACCATCCATCCCCTGCCGCCTCTACACCCACACACTGATCGGCAATCACTCTGCTCTGTCCCTGTATCCTCTCTTCCCATGTCTGCCACCTATCACGTGTGCATAGTCCAGCCAGTGCCTCCCCCCACTCGACTCTGTTCTCAATTCACCGGCTTCCCCTTCCGTTTCCCTTTCCACGTTCCCCTACTCTACCCATCACCACTTCCTCAGCTGTGCATGGTGCACCCAGTGGCGCCCATCTCTGCCGTCTCTCCCCAACCAATCTCCCAGCCCCTTCCGCTGCCCCCTCTCTCCCCCTCACCATTCTCCCCCGTTCACCGCTTCCTTCTTTCCCTTCTTCCCCCCTTCCCCTCAGTCAACCATTAGCTGCGCATAGTGCACTGAGTATTGGCCTCTCTCACCGTCTCGCCCTCACCACTCTCACCGGCCTCTCTCGCGGGCCAATCATGCTGCTCTCCCTCCTCGCCTGCATCGCCACCACTGTCACCCCTTCTGGGGTCACTCTCGACTCAGAGGGTCAAGCCATTGGGGAGGGTCGACCCGTTAAGTGTAGGGGAGTCGCCCCACCACATCCTTCTCCTGGCTCTCGGTCTCGCAGTCACAGTGGGACTCGGTGAATTGAGTGGCCCCCCTCCTTCCCTCTCCCCACCTCCCTTCCCCTCCTTCTCTGCTCTCACCTCTCCATGGCCCCGGATAAAGCACGCCAGCAGGGAGGCCTTTAAGAGCAGAACAATGACAGGTACGTGGAAGAATGGAGAAGTGGAATGGTTCCAAAGGGAGCAGTTGGAGGGACACAGTTGGTCAATGTGTGTGTACGTGGTGTGCCGCTTCTTCCTGCCTATACATCCCAAATATACGCATGTCCGTGCATCACTGTACCCACTGCCCATTCTCATGCCTCTTTGTCCTCTTCATCTGCTCCAACCCCCCCACCGTCTTGTGTCCTGCAGTATTCAAAGACTGCAACAGGATCGATTCAGTCCCCATCCGCTTGGGCATGCTCACCAGGTTGATTTACTTGGAAGTTGGAACCGAGTGGCTGTGAGAAGCCCAGAGATAGATGCCCCATGTCACTTGCCTGGCTCGCATGAGGCTGCAAGCTTGGGGTTAAAAGGCGGGCCCTATGACAGTAGCGAGTCTCTTCTCTCTCACACGTCTCTATCCTGTTCAAGCTTTAGGTAGTTTAGAGACCGAGGTTAGCAGTTGCAAGCTTTATGTCTAAATCATGAATTTGTCATGAAAAAACTGCATGCACTTTAAACTTGAGTGATCCTCTTACCGACACTCTTTTAGTGTGGCATCCCTCTCTTGTTACAGTGCCAAGTACCAGTACAAGTAAACCTACTTTCATAATTTCGGCATGCATGTGTGTGTGTGCTGTATGATGCATTGCTGGTTGGTTGGTACAAACTTGAACTGAAATAATGTAGATACTGTAAGTAGTCTGGACCCTCTAAAACACAGGGGCTCTAGCACAGTGACAATTGTATTCAGCTCTGGAGCTTGTCACAGCCTTCTGTAAGGAGAAGATCAAGCATTCTGAAATCCTCTACGTCACCAGGCAGAGCCTCCAGTTGCTTGCAGTTACGGAGATCAAGCCACCTCAGTCTCCTAAGCTGGGCGAGGCCAGGAGGGAGTAAGCGGATGGGAGTGTTGCTGAGGTTCAAAGCATGAAGGCAGGAGAGCTGCGTGAGGGAATCAGGGAGATGCCTGAGGGATGAGCAGTCGGATAAGTCCAGCTTGCGCAGTCTTGACAATGCTCCAATGGAGTCCGGAAGAAAAAACAACTTCGGCGAGTGAATCTGCATGGATGTGAGGTGGTGGAGAGTGGTGATGGCCGCAGGCAGATTTGTGAGTTCATCACGTGTGGAGTAGATGTTCAGCTGCCTTAGCTCCAGCAATGGCGCACCACCACATTCCACCAGCTCCTTTATGCTGCGAACCTCCTTGAGTGCCAAGGTGCGGAGGCAAGAAAGCCTTGTCAACGCAAACAGAAACTCCTCCGCAACTTCTCCTAGCGTCAGCTCCAGGTGCTCCAGAGCAGAGAGGTGGTAACTGATGGCCAGTAGACATCTCGCACCGACAATGCCTAAGTGCAATTTCCTGAGCTCTGTAAGCCTTGACATGTTTGGCAGCAAAACCACCTCCTGATTGTTGTCGTAGGCCAGAGCCTGGAGACTGAGTGGCAGAGCCTGAGGGGCTTCGTTCAGCAGCATACATCCCCTTAGCTCCAACTGCCTCAGTCTGGTAAGGCTGTCCAGCCTCCTGGGAACCGAAGATAGACGGGTGCACATATTAATCAAGAGCACCCGAAGGCTGACTAGGCTCGTCACAAAATCTGGAATCTCCGTAATGTCAGGGCAGTCCAGAATATACAGCTCTTGCAGCTTTGCCATCATCCCCACTCCCTCTGGCAGCTCACTAACCCTGCACTCATCCAGCTCCAATCTGGTCAGAGAAGCCAGCTCTGAGAATGAGGACGGCAGCTGCCCTCTGCATTTTTTTTTTTTAGACGAAAAGTTTGGAGATTTATGAGGCTGCCAATGTCTTCTGGAAGGTCCAGCTGCCAGGAGCACGCAAGAGACAGAGTCTGCAGCGATGTGAGACAACCAAACCCTGCAGGTAGATCATACACCGCCTCACACCCGAGCAGAAAAAACGTCTCCAGGGATCCGAGCCTGGTGACGGATGCGGGAAGACTGAAAAGAGGCAGCCTGTCCAGCACCAACGTCTTCAAGGCTGGCAGATTCCCAAAATTATGGGGCAGAATGTAGACACAGCATGAGGATATGGTCAGGCTGTCCAGGCATGTGAGTGAGGTGAACTCGTCAGTCAGATCGCTAAAGGTTTCGCAGTCACTGATGCTGAGCTCTACAAGGCTTGGCAGCACATCTCCTATGCTGTCTGGAAGCCGCTCATGGTGGTAGCAATGGTGAAGCTGCAGGCGTCTTAGGAACTTGTGTGGAAATTTGAGAGGGAAGACGGTGTCGAACTGTGTAAACCACAATCCAAATTTCAACGACTCAAGACAAGGTAACTGCGCAAGAGAGAAGTCCAGGTGGTCTTCTGAATTGGCAGACATATTGTTAGGCAAGGAGATGTGGACGAGGTTGGTGAGGTGACGGAGGCTGGAAAGCTGGTCGTAGCGAAGGATGGAGGCTTTAATGGAGAGTGTCGTGAGAGACGAAAGGGAGCTGAGTCCTGACGCATCTATGACGAAAGCATTGTTGGCCAAGGTGAGGGTGCGCAATGGGAGTTGAAAGAGGGAAGCTGGTGGATCGACATATTCCTCGATCCACTCCAGCGACAGCTGCTCCAGTTGAGGACAGTGATTGGAGAGATGATCCAAGTTCGATTTGTCTATCAGGCAGGCGGCCTTCCGTGCAGCACTCAACTCCCCCACGTGCAGCGCTCTCAATTTAGGGCACAAAGAGACGAGGTCGGCTAGAAAGGTGTTGTCCAAAACTGCAACACTTCGATCTGACAGATGCAGATGGGTCAGATTGGGAAAGCAAGCGACGGCGTTGAGAGCATCCTGACGAGAAACGCTGCGGTATTCCTTTACGAGCAGCGATGAGACATGCCTCTGAGCGAGACGCCGCCAGCGACGACGGATAGATGCAATAAGGAGGCTATGAGCGGCATCTGCGGAGGCTGGAGGGGTCAGCACGGGAGATTCTGTTCGCTATAGTGAGTCCTCTGGGAAAGCGTTGTAGATGTACTTAGGCTTGAACGGAAGAGAATTCCAAAGATGATCGCTCTCGGATGCGTACGATATTGACTGTACGGAAGGCCAGAAGATGCGGACTAAGACGTCGTCAGAGAGATGATAGATGTGGGTTTCACGCGACTCCATGTCAGCCGTGAAGATTAAAATGTGCTTTGATGATGTTAGGGATGATAAATGGTGGCTTCTATCTTGCTGATGCAGTTCTGCTCTCTTGCCTGATGCCTCTCTTCTCTGCTCTCTGCTCAGTTCTTGCCGTTCCAACTTGTTGGGCTCTGCTGTCCGATCGCATCACTCACAATCCCGCCATTTCCTCCGTTGCTCTCGCTAGTTTGGATGGGGTGACGGGTCATCAGGAAGGCGGGATGGCTGGTTGATTTGAATGCTGTGTTCCCTGCGGATTACAACAATTGGAGGGTTGTCGAGTAGTCTTTTCAGATTACGAGGGGTTTCATTTGTTCGTTTTCCCTTTGGGTTCACTTTGCAAGGGAGCGGGGTCCGAACCTGAATCTCGATTTCCAGTCGCGGTGTGGAGGAAGAAATGTACATTTCTGTTCAACTCCTGGAAATACCGACTGACCAAGAAATGTACATTTCTGTTCAACTCCTAGAAATACCGACTGACCGAAGAAGTCACGGAGCTTCAAACTTCGCTATAAGGAACAACAGTTCAGAACCTAGTTTCGTGTGGAATGCTTGAAATGCTTCAGCAAGAGATTGAAAATCTATGATGTTATTACATATCACTATATTAAAGCTAGACAACCACACACACACACACACACACACACACACAGTGCCAAATGGTTCTCGTGTCGCTCGTTATACAATATTTCAACTTACAGGATAGCTGCTTAGAATGTTGGATAGATAGGGTATGGTGTACATGAGCTTTTCGTATAGTGTGTACAGAAGGTCATGATGCACCCATTTGTACGTAGAAGAGCAAGTAATGTATGTAAGATTCCGTCTGTGATTGAGAAGCTAAAACAGCAGCCTCTGCGAAATAGAAGGGAGAGAAGTTTCGTTCAAGAAGCGGCATGTAGGTAAGTGTGCATGGAAGGGTTGTCGGGAGTGCGGACAAGAATAGCGTGGAATGATGGAATGGTGCAGGCAACATTCTCAGAGCCATCATCGAGCTGCGTCCAACCAGGCAGTGACGGGCTATCATCCGCCACGTCATCAATGTAATGACCGTGCGCCAAAATGGCCCTCGGGTGTCGCACCACGACCCGCAGAGCGAAAAGGGAGCTGCCATGTGGTAATGTGGAGATACCATAAGGGGGTGGGAACAACGGCGTATGAATTTGAATTTGAAAGGGGAAGTGGGACAGTGGCAGTGACATGTTGCTGCCATGCTGCTGTGTGAAATAATCAAGACGGAAAACATCAAACATTAGCTCCCAGAGCATGGCGGACAAGGGGTAGAGGGGGAAGAGGAGTGGGAGCATGATACATGAATAATATTTTTGAAGTGTTATAGCATCCCTATGATGATACAGCAGAAACATATTTTCTATGCCACCGCACTTCTGTTCCGAGCCTGAGCATTATAATAGGCTCACCTCTTTGCCTTGAGAAATGGAATCGTGCATTGCTGCTGCACAAAAGAGACCTTATGCAGTGAACACCCTAGTTGGCAGCAGAACAGAGAAGTAAAAACAGAGAGAGGCAATGCGCAATATAGCTGGAAATGCTTATTCGGGACATCGAACAATACTGCGTGATAATCCACCCACATCAAGTGATGCAGCAATCTCCACCCGAGCCATGTTCTTCCTGCACTCATATCGTCCCCAACCTACCTCCCTCACACAACTTGTCAGCCCGCCCCCACCCTTACGCCTACAAACCACACCTTACATACCAACCCATTAAGTACCGTATTCCCCCAGATAAAATACCCCCCTATAATAATGTACCCGGGTCTTTAATACGGGGGGGGGGGGGGGTATATTATTCAAGGCTGTTTTCCTTATACCCCCTAATTGGGGTGAAATCATTTTAAGACCCCCCCCCAACCTTAAAAGTGTTTTTTAGAGGCTAATTCATGTCAATTAAGCAAGCAGTGGCACATGTTAGGCCATAGGAGTCACAAAATACAATCAACGCAGCCTCTCAACACCCAGCTAGCTCCACTCTTCACCCACCACCTTGGAATCCGCCCCCGCCTTGCTACTCATCTTCGTCACCTGCCACCCACTCCTCTACCTCTGCCCCCTCATAGCGACCAGGGGCCCACCATTCATCCCCTTCGTCGCTCCACTCGTCAGCTTCGCTCGCGTTTCCATCGTCGGACTCGATCGAGTCTGACTTAGCAGGTATTGCCTCCTCATCGGCCTCCTCTGCTTCAGCGGCCAGCACGGCCTCCTCCTCCATCTCGACGGTCACATCGGGAGGGGTGACCACGGGGGCCGGGTAGAACGGGTTGGGGACCAGTTCATCCTGCTCCTCCTCCATCACGTCTTCCAGCACCTCCACCTCGCCGGAATCCTGCATGTGCACTAGGATCAGATGATCCTGGCTCCCGTCCTCTGCGTTGGAGATGCCGCAGGTGAGGAATGCTTTCCTCACCATCTCCTCGTGAACGTCGGCCCACGACTCGTCAATCCACTTCAAGATGAGTTCGGCCGGCGGTTTCTTCAGGTTGCCTACGGATTGGGGCCAAGGGAAAGGGAATGGAGGGTGTATGGTTGTGTGTTTTGACTGTTCTTACATCGACAACACGCCCCCATTGCTTCATACACGGGCTTACCTGCGGGAGTTGTGCTTGTGATCCCGTCCTCCTTGAACCAGTTACCGTAGAGGTGTCGGACACCCGCCTTGAAGGCACGGTTAATTGAAACATCAATCGGTTCCACAAGCGGTGTCCAACCGCCTGGGATCACCGCACGTGTCACCCTGAAGAGACGCATAGTCTGGCCGACACGTTCGGTGAGATGTCCTCGATACGAGTCCAGGACGAGGAGGACGTCCTTCCGCCTGCCGCCCTCGTCCCGCAGGGGCCGCATGAAGGGGACGAGGACTTGGGTAGTCCAGTCCTGGATGAGGTTCTCGTCCATCCATCGCCGTACCTGCGCACGGATAACGACGCCTGCACACCGCATGATGCACATCAGTCGCATGTACAAGGGTACGGGTAACATGCGTAACGGAAATAATGACTCACCTCGCGGAACGACGTCCTTCGAGATTGTCTTGCGCTTGAACACCACATACGGTGGCAACTTCAAGCCGCTCGTCGTCACCGCCAGCATAACGGTGAGGCGCTCCTTCTCGTAACCCGCGGTACGGACGTGCACGGTGCGCGCCCCCTTCATCTCCAATATGCGTTCCGGCGGCATCTCCAGGAAAAGCGGTGTCTGATCGGCGTTAACGATCAGACTGGTGGGGTAGGAGTTCAGGACTTGCATCTGTCGAACAAACTCCCAGAAGGATTCCACCTTGACCTTCAAATCTGCAAGGAGAGAGAATATAGAAATTGTTAGTCGCGGAACAACATCAATTACAAACACGAGCCCGGTTTTGTGAGAATACTAAACGAGAATGAATGCATTGAGCAGAAATTTGGGTACAAGTACTAACCCTAATTGGGTTGTACCCCTTATGGGCTACCCACCCCACTACAGCCTACACAAAAGTAAGCACTATAAAATTTGACACACCCCTATAGGCAAAGTGGGGGAGAACAAGTGGTCACAAGACCAGTCAAGAAAAGCAAAGCAAGCTCAGGGTGGATCACAAAATCACCACAAATTCTAAGCACAAGCAAAGGCCACAAGGCCAATTCACATGCAGAGTTATATAAAAGAGAAAAAACAGTATAGTGATCATAGCCTAGCAAGTGTAAGCATGCAAGTATATACATATATATATATCACAGTACAAGCAAAGTCACGCAGTAAGCAAGTGAGGCAAAGTAGGCACAAGGCCTAACACAGTAACAAAATGATCACCAGGCGGAAGTGCCTTGGTGAAGACATCAGCAGTGTTAGCCCCAATGGCCACGTACGCAAGACGAAGCTGGCCACGCTGCTGCAACTCTCGAGCAAGGAATTATCGCAGAGCGATGTGCTTCGTTCTGTGCTCCAGTCTGTGCTCCTGACACAAGGCAATCATGGCCTTCTTGTCTACGTACAGAACTGGAGAAGAACGAGGCTTCTCTCCCAAGTCGGTCAGAAGGTAGGTGAGCCAGCGTAACTCCTGTGCAGCCATGGCCCCTGCGTAGATCTCAGCCTCACAACTGGAACTGAGAACAGAAGACGAGCGGTTAGACCGCCAAGAAACAGAGCCGGAGCCAAGGCTGAAAGTGTAACCCTGTGACGACCGCTGCGTAGCCAAGTCTTCAACCCAAGAAGCGTATGCGTGTCCAGTGAGGACAACTGGACCCCGTCCTCCAAGCTGTCACTAATATATAATAGTAAGGACACTATATTTTGCTGCATGCTAGGAAGGGTGTAGATGGGTCTACGGTTGGGTTATGTGACTCTAGCTTGGGGGATTGCTTGGGCCAGAGGAATGACGCAAAGTTGGTGGCCTGGGGATTTGGGGACATTGGGAAGAGGACCAAAGTGTTGGTGCAACCCTACGGTTTGCACTCGGCTTGTTGTCCGTGTGCGTGAATGTGTGTGTGTATGGAATGGTATGAGGGCATGGGATAATATATATTTCATGCTTATAATTGTGTGTGAATGTTGAGTCATGATGTCGAGTGTGTGTGTCGAGTCAATAGCGAGTTATCGCTAGACGCGTGTTACGCGGTCGTTTGTGTCTCGCGCGCGGTTTCTATTTTGTCGTGCGCGGTTTCTATTTTGTCCTGTGTCGAACGTTCGGCGTGTCGCAGGTGTGTGCAGCAGACCCATCAAGAACTCAAGGATGAGTTTGTGATGAAGAGCCCGAGCCTTGGTGTCAAGCCTCAAGTGATTTCGAAGCTCGCCAAAAGGGTACACCTCAAGATATTGAAGATAGTTACATTACTTTGTGTAGTGTAACATTTCACTTGGTGTAGGCCCTAGTGAAGGGTAGTTTCGAGACCCTTCGTGGTTGGGGACAGTGTGGCACTGTTCCACATCACTGTACCTCGGCTCTTGGGGTTTGTAGGAGCTGGGAGTCATTCCCAACTCGTAACTCTTCCTATCTTGTGTTCTAAGACTATAGTGGCTGCCACAGTACCGTTCGTTCAAACCGACGCTGTGTCGTCAATTCTTTATCAAATCGTGCAATCTAAATTGATAATTGTAGACGACGTGAAGACGCTCCAGATCCAATTTGAATCAAGTCATTTGCAGCTGTGAGCAGAACTCTATCAACGTTTGAAGCCGCTGTGCAGAAATCCGTCTGTGCTCTCTATCTTTCGTTTTAGGCACATTCAAGCCTATTGTGACTATAACACAAAGTGCCTCGAGGGACAGGAAATCCACATGGACCAATAAGGGCCACAGGCGACCCGAACCCAACGCAAGGTGGTGGCAACTGCCTGGACTCGGAGTGGGAATAAAGTAGCCTAGCCTAGCCAACTGAACCTGTTCTCTCGCTTTGTTTGCTCACTATAGTGGATTTAATTCACCACTCTAAGGCTACGGTAGCTAGGTGATACACCACTAAGGGCAGCCAGCTTGTGGGAGCAGGATTCTCTCACAAAGCGAGAGAAGAGCTTACCGGCGACATGGATCGCCACGATCTGCGCGTGCAGCGTACGTACTCACGGCGGGAACGATCTCCGTCGGGGATTAGGCGCTCGAGGGAGCGTGGGAGATTGCCGACGCGCTCGCCATGACGGGCGGCGTATTGGGCGGATCCGGTGACGCCGACGGGCGTGCGAAGAGAAGAAAGCGGGGAAGATCTGCGCGTCAGGTCATAACCGTGGAGGCGGCCCGTGATCAGCGACCCGGGGAACCTGGCAGGAGGCCAGCGCGGGATGGATGGACGGCGTCGCGAAGGCGACGTGGATGTGCACACTACGAGCGAGCAGGGTGATGAGGAGGAAGGGGAAGAGCCCCAGCCTGCTCGAGGCAGCAGAAGACGCGGCATTGCCGGCGACGACGGTTCCCCCACTGCGCGAGGCGGCGGAAGGCGCGACATCGCCGGCGACGACGGTTCCCCCATTGCGCAGGGCGGCGGAAGGCGTGACATCGCCAACGACAAAGGCTTCCCCACTGCGAGGGGCAGCGGAAGGCGCGACGTTGCTGACGGCGACTGTTCCCCCACTGCGCGGGGCGGCGGAAGGCGCGACATCGCCGACGATGACGGTTCCCCCACTGCGCGGGGCGGCGGAATGCGCGGGGCGGCGGAAGGCGCGACATCGCCGGCGACGGCGGTTCCCCCGCTACACGAGGCGGCGGAAGGCACGACATCGCCGTCGACGACGGTTTCCCCACTGCGCAGGGCGGCGGAAGGCATGACATCGCCAACGACGAAGGCTCCCCCACGGCGAGGGGCGGCGGAAGGCGCGACATCGCTGACGGCGATTGTTCCCCCACTGCGCGGTGCAGCGGAAGGCGTGACATCGCCGACGACGACGGTTCCCTCACTGCGCGCGACGGCGGAAGTCACGACGTCGCCGCCAAGAAACAGAGCCGGAGCCAAGGCTGAAAGTGTAACCCTGTGACGACCGCTGCATAGCCAAGTCGTCAACCCAAGAAGCGTCGGCGTGTCCAGTGAGGACAACTGGACCCCGTCCTCCAAGCACGAGCCCCATGCCCAATGTACTGCACAAGTAGCGCAACACCCTCTTAGCGGCCTCCCAGTGCTCTGGTCGGTGTCTCCCGGGCGCAACGTAGTGTGCCAGGATGCTAAGAGGGTAGGCAAGGTCAGGTTGAGTGTAGATCATCAGGTACATGAGGCAGCCCACAAGCTCTGGATACGGGCCACTCGGCTCTACGGACTCGTTCGAAGGTGGAGCTGAGAGCGAGTGACCGGTAGGCAGAGGAGTGGTTTGTGGTGAGAAGTACCAGAAGCTGAAGCACTGAAGGACCTGGTGCACCATGTGTGACTGAGTCAGGGTGATGGTGCGCCATGCTCTGTCCCGGGTGATCTGCAAGCCAAGATAGCTACGCAGCTCACCCAGGCTAGTGCAGGTGTGTCTCTCCTGCAGCTCCGACTTCACAAGGGCCAGTGCCTCAGTGTCAGCAGTGGCAAAGATGAGGTCGTCGACGTACACGCGGACATAGAACGGCGGCATCGATGTGTCGGTGCGTAGAAACAGCGACGGGTCAGCAGTAGCAGGAGCAAACCCAAGAGCCGCAAGTGTCGTCCTCAGCGTGTCGTGCCACTCGCGAGGCGCCTGGCGGAGACCGTAGACTGGCCGCCGGAGGCTCCACTGGATACCTGCAGGAAACGACCCAGTGAAGCCAGGTGGGCGGCGCAGCCAGATCTCCTCGTGCACGCTGCCCTGTAAGAAAGCTGTGCTGAAGTCAAGAGAGTGAAGCTCGTAGTCACGCTGAGCAGCCACGTGCAGCAGTACCCGAAGAGTAGTCATCTTCGGGGTAGGGGAGAAGGTC